CGTAAATAACTAAGAAGACAACGAAGTAGATCCCCTCCCCCAGAATTGTATGATGTGAAGATAAAAGTACATGTCTTTGTAGGTGTGTGTTTGTGGCAGGCCTCCTTGGGCACATCCATCCACCGATATGCCACCTTGGGGAGAAAATGTCAAAGCTTCACCACTCAAGAATAAATCTAGGAACTCAGACCTGCAGTAAGGAGTTCATAGCGCAGAGCCACAGACGTGGCTTTTATTGCAAAGCTGTAAGAACCACGTTGATCAGCTACAGCAGAGTCAAGCAATCCAGCCCTCTATTCGTAACAGCCCCAGGACTTCTTTCTCCCATGGCAATGGACTCCTTGCTGCTTGTTTCTCAGCCCTGGATAGACAAGGGGCCTGCACTGGGTTTTGGCGATGATCTTGCCTGATCTCAGGCTCTTAAATTCTGACCTTCCCAGGTCCAGCCCTCACCCAAAATGTAAAAGCTGGACAGACTTTTTAGAATAGGGAGATCAGTTCTGCCCTTGATATAACAGCAAAATGTTTACTGGTCTCATGAAGCACCCATTATTATGAGCCATTGAATCTCTGGTTCACTTGAAAGGGGAGTTATTGTAATACTAAAACAGGATGCATGGAGACCTGCCTGGGGACAAGGCCAGTAACACAATACCCATTTTCTAAAATGCTGTAGGCACTGAAGAAGAGTTTCGGGGGTCAAGCTAAAAGCCCCTAACCCAAATACTTCTTTCCAGGGAAACTAAGCCTGTCAGCTCAGCCAGAAAAATTTAGAAGACCAAAGCATGATGATAAATTGAGAATAAATACTGAGAGGCAAGCAGAGTTCTGGGAAACAGAAAGAAGTAATTCCCTAGCAAGAAACCATGTTCATGAAATAACTGCCTCATTGTTTTTTCAAAACCCCATTGTTTTTGTAGTCCTGCCTCACTGCCTCATAGTTTCATCCTAATTGCCTCACTATTCTCACATGATGTTGTCTATACCCAGTGCAACTGGATACACCTTGCTGAATTCAATCACATGTATACTCTAATTTGCATATATTTATAAAGAGGTAGCTCCTCCCCTCTTTAGGCCTGGTTCTGGACTGTCAATAAACTATCAATAAACCAATTTGTGCTTCAATGTAATATCTCTTAGCCTTGGTTCATACACAGCCCTGGAAAAATTCTCCTATAGCATATTGCTATTCTGGTTTTTTTTATTAACAAAAGCTAAGTATGTATAATGAAAACAAAATATTCCATCTGTTCTCTTGTACCGAGTTTTAATTTATAAGCTTCCTGAATCAGACAGCCATATTTATGGATACGCTTTGCTCTATCTTCAAAAAAACTTACTTTAAAGACTATTTTATTGGTATTTTTACCAGATTAAGTGTATTATAAACTTAAATGCTTTAGAAATCTTTTCTTACAGCTTCCACTTTGACCAAAATAGAGTCAGTTGCTTTACTGAACTCTCAGTAGGCAAACTTTTATTATTTCCAAGCCCTTCAAACTGGGCAACTGTGCAGATATTTTTAAAGCTTATTTTTTCAGTAGGCGACAGGGTTGGTGGGAAGAATTTACAATAATTAAACACCAAGTAGAATGTCATTTTACACAGAACCGCTTACTTTTTTGGACTCTTCATCTGGTCTATCAGATTTGTTTTTGTTAAAGCTGTGCTGAACTGCTTGAAGGTTAAATAGCATGAGTTTCAAAGCTTCCACGGGACCATGATGATTTCCACCAGAAAATGTACTCTCCTGAAATCAAAGAAAGACTCTGCATATCAAAGAACTCTGAAAAAGTTACCTTCCCCAAATGAAAGCTTTGGACTGTGATGTAGGAGTGATTTTCCCCCCTTACATTTACTGTTTATTACCTATAAAGAACATTCTGCAGTCTCTGTAAGAAACCTCTTCTTTAGCCTTTGCTAAGTCCTAATATAGAAATGTTACACTCACTCAGGTATTTGAAACATAGAAGTTAAAAGGTCTAACCAAAATAGACTCTTTAAGCCGTAGACATTTTGACACTGGCCCTCGAAATAGAAGTATGGTACATGATGATTCCCGCTCCCCACACCACCCCCAATATGGGCTTTTCTGGAATTAAAGGTAGAGCAAGGTAGTTATGTTTCCTGAGGGAAACAGCAGAGTTTTTTTTTATCCCGCCTTTATTATTTTTATAAATAACTCAAGGTGGTGAACATACCTAATACTCCTTCTTCCTCCTATTTTCCCTGCAACAACAACCCTGTGAGGTAAGTTGGGCTGAGAGAGAGGGACTGGCCCAAAGTCACCCAGCCGGCTTTCAGGCCTCAGGCGGGACTAGAACTCACCGTCTCCTGCTTTCCAGCCTGGTGCCTTCACCACTAGACCAAACGGATTGCAAGTTATACCCACGCGGCAAACAATTGGAGCAAATAGATTAATTTGTGTACCTTCACAGAATATTTAGTAAAGATGGAAAAAATGGTGGGACATTTTAAGATAGGCAAATGCTGATAGAAAGATAATGGACAGCATGCTGTCTGTTGCGAGGACTTAATGCTTGTTGAAATAAATGAAAAATGGCTGTGTGTAAGAGCGTGCTTCTGCTATTTGGTTATATGGAAGCGAGAGTTGGTTATGTCAGGAGAAACATAAAAGTAAGTTGTCTGCAGTGGGAATGAGATAGTTAAGAAATGTGTGTGGGTAAGAGTAGGGCCAAGAAAGAACGGGTGATGAATAAATGTGGATTGAATGCCAGAGTGAATGACCAGTATGAAAGAAGTAGTTTGAACTGCATGAAGGAAGAAGGAGAAGGCCGAGAAAGTTGTGACTGGATGAGGTGGATGACAGTTCCAAGAGAGATGAGACATTAAAGAACGAAAGATAAAACAAAAACAGTAGGTGTATGGACACAGTAAAAGTGAGGATAGATGAAGGAAAGAAAGTTACGGAGAAGTTTAGCGCAGGGTTCCTCAACCGTGGCAACTTTAAGACAGATGGACTTCAGCTCCCAGAATTGAAGAGAATTGGGAGTTGAAGTCCACCTGTCTTAAAGTTGCCAAGGTTGAGGAACCTTGGTTTAGTGAATGGAAATCTAGATTTCCTTTCCTTTTATCTTACCTTCTGCCTTTAATTTACTTTGCTTACTACTGATTTTCTTTCTGCACTTTGCAGAACACTGCTTAGCTTGACAGAGAACAGAGTGATAGGCATGTATGTTTGTATGGACACATAACTGTTATGTCAGCTTTATTGCTGCCTCAACTGAACTGAGAACATTCACCCACATACCTAGCTGGCACTGAAAATTCTGCAAAATCCTTGGAAAGCCCTGCTTTAAGGAATGCAGACTTGAACCATAGCTTCATTTTTAATTTACCTGTTGACCATTCTGCAAACAGTCTTCTAAAAAGTTATTGACGATGCTGGTTTTGGAGTTTGGTGGTGAATTCTCTTCCACACAGGATACAGGTACTGGAGGTTTTCTGTAGACAGAAATGTAGAGGTTAAGAACTTGAAGCGTGAAACTGTTTTTAGTTTCTGCATGATATTTACATATTGTAACTGAAAAAGTCCTTACGACCACAGAATACAAATCAAATGCATACATGTATTCATACATACCAATCATGCTATTTTCCCCTCCAATCTTTAGCTACTTATCCTTTTTTCCTTCATGGATTTGTTACTGGTTTTGAGAGCATTAACAACAACTGCTCCCTTCACACCCATCAAATAGACCCTCATTAAAACCCTCACCTGAAAGACAGCCGTTTTGGTAGCCTCAGATAGGACACTTGGAGAACTAGGGGCTTTCTCTGTACGAAGGGACCCATGCAAATTCCATCAAGACAAGGTGGTGCTAAACCTGGATCCCTTTCATGACACTGAGCCCAAGAGACTGAGCTTCCAAATTTCTTCCAGACCTTACCCAACCTACAGAATGAACTTAGCACCAGCTAGATGCATCCAGGTTATTAAGAATATACCTCAAATGTAACATAGAGGGGCAGAGGGCTGAAAGCCTATTTGTCTCCAACAGAGCAAGAAATCTGGGAAGATGAACTATTTGATCCATCATCAGCTAATGGGTCAGAGAATGTGTCGCTTTGATATACTCAACCAAGATACAGCTATCATGGCATCACAATTCACTCCATCAGGGGATGGACTACATTAACAGTTCTACTACCAGAGGCCCTACTAATAGGCATTTGAAATATAGGACAAACCATCTATGTTCATTATAAAATAGATGAATTTGCCTCCCTGCTGTATAATACTCATTTCCTGTCATTTCCATTCTTGATCACTGAGAATATTAAACTTATTATGAAGTACCATTCTGATCACTGAATGAGGGACCAGATGGTTCTACCCTACAAGAAGGGGCCAGAGTCAGAGAAAGTTCCAGTAACTAAAAATTTAATCATTAGCTACTTCACTGTATTTGCTACTGTAATTTCTTTTGTTTTCTGGTGCTTCTTGCTGGACAAGGCTTTTTCTCGACACAGTGAATTATTTAATAAAGAAATAGCTGAAATACACTCAGCTGAAATTGATGCATGCCACTGTCAGGGATGAGTTTCTTCAGGGGACAGGAAGAAATATTAAGCCTTGAATAGCTTGAAAGGGTGAAGTTAACCCTTTCTTGTTTGGTCCATCTATCAGTAACCGGAAGGGTACTTCCCAGTAGAAAGCCAGTTTGGTGTAGTGGTTAAGACACCAGGCTAGAAATTGGGAGATCATGAGTTCTAGTCCTCCCTTAGACATGAAGCCAGCTGGGTGACCTTGGGCCAGTCACTCTCTCTTGGCCCTAGGGAGCAGGCAATGGCAAACCACTTCTGAAAAACCTTGCCAACAAAACTGCGGGGACTAGTCCAGGTACTCGGCAGGAGTCAAAAACTGACTTGAAGGCACACACACACACAAAACCACCCACACCTTCCCAGTAAGTTGAATTATTATTCACCTAGCAACAAATGCACAAGCCAAGAGTGGCTAGAAAATAATAAAACTGCACAGAGAGATTCTCAGCTGCAATTTTTCCAACTCCCCAATCCTTCCTAAAGAGTCTGTCCCAGCTTTAACTATCCTGTTAAAAACTGTCCTTGGAAAATGCAGCAGACTTCCCCAGGAGAGGGGGCAAAATAAACAAATGTCAAAGGGAACCAAGAATTACTGATCTGGATTTTGTTCCCCAGTTTTGTTGCTGGGAAAATGACCACAAGGCACTTGTCACCTTGTTGACTAAACATGAGTGCTTATTACTGTAGTTGTGTGGGTTTTAGGGAAAAACAGAAAGGTTTTGGAGTGGAGTTCAGGGAAATGAGGATCTGACGGAAATGGTCTCCAGAGGCATAAAAAAGATCTTTCTCCCCTGCCTTTTGTTGAGTGAACCACATGAACTTCACACAAGCAAATTGCTGGGGTGGACTGGTGAATGGCGTATACATTCATTGTAACAATGTCTGGCCCTGGTTGACTATGCTCAAAACCTGCCAAGAAAAGGCCTTAGTTTACTAAGTTCCTCCCAGCATCCCTTTGCAAATGCCAAGAATGTCTGACAAATCCTCCCATACCCAGGTAAACCTCAGCAATATTTGCCCAGAGCCTTCCTCTGCTTCCATGTTTCCCACTGACCAGAGAAAGAATCCTTGCTGAAAAGTTAAAACTGGGGGAAATGCTGTGGTTCTTGGATGTTCCTGGATGAAGATTCCCACCGTCTCTCCCAGCCTGATTCAGTAAAGATCTGTGCAGAAAATGCAGTTGAGCCTTGAGTAAATTTAACTGTGCTCCTCGTTTTCTCTTTCTTCAAGAAATCTGTGTTTATATTAGAGCTGTTGGGGCTTTCAGTTGCTCTCTTATGGTCCCGTTTGCTTGGAAACATTTACTGGGCTTACTTGAACTGCGCTAAAAGGAACTGGAAGGATCTGCACAGGCATACATAGAGAAGGTGCCACTTGCATTGCTCCTTCAGACTAGGCAGTTATGCCTCTGATAATACTGGAAACATTTCCACTCTGGAATCTGAAAGTAGACACCAGCGGCACGGTACCCAATTGTTGTTTACTACTTTCATGGGAGGCCACAAGGGAAGTAACAGGATTGTAGGATAGATAGGGAAGTGGGAAAAACTTCCCTGGAATAAGGCAGTATCAAATCACTCCTGTAATGTTGAAAGAGGCATATCCATGATGCCACCAGGAGCTGACTTGACTCAAAAGAGAATGTACCACACCTATCTGATCACAAAGAGATTGGGAAATAAATGAAGAAGCACTTTCTACTTCCATTATACCCATGTCTTGAAATTGTGTCTGGTATCTCCAGACTGGGTGGCGTAAATGGTTTACAATAAATAATATGTATATTGAAAGTCTCTGGAGCATTATTGGATAAACTGTGTTTACAGGAACGAAAAAGCCACTGATCAGAAAGTAGGGGAAAGAATAGAGTCACTTCATTTCTCAATATTCAGTGTCAATGGCTAACAAATTGGGGGGTAGGAGGGCAACCTGCACTCTCCAACTCTCTTTTTTGTTGCCCTCTGACCTTGACTACTCACAGCCATTTCCCACCGCATTAAAGGTGAAAGCACATGGAGACTAGAGTATTTGTTCCTAAAATAAGCACATCACATTTACAAAGAAAACACCCAGAACTCTTCCTAAAACCCAGCCCTGCCCACATGTTTGACACAGTTCTTGGCCATTATTCAAGTAACCCTTGATCTTCAAAAAGGGCTGTATGCTCCTGTACAGAAAATCCTGTGGGAATGTAGTGAGCACAAAAGGAGTAACCAGTTTATGAATACAACTTCCACTGCGGAAGCAGACTTGGCTCCTGACATAGGGAAAAATAGCCAAAGATCTTCAAGGAAAATTATTTGCCCTTCGGGGATATTGAGCCAATGTTATGTGAGTAGGTAACAGGGATTGGCTAATTATAATAGCAGTGAAGAGTTCTGTGGGTGCCACTTGCAGTTAGCCAGCTTCTCAGACTACTAATGTGAATCTGGAATTCTTTGCTCCCTCTTTCTTAATACTATGATCTGGAGACATCTGATGGAGCTAACCGGTTGAGGAATCAGGAGAGATACAGCATATGGTTAAGCTACAAATGCACCCGTGAAAGAGAAACAGATGGTTTTCAAAGGGGAGTAGATAAACTCATGAAGAAATTGGCTTCACCACTGTGACAACAGGATCTAGCAGGGCTCTTCTTAGATTTCTTGTACAAATTCTATCATTTTATCACATTCAGATAGATTGTCAGTCAGGATATTACTGAAGAAACCCACTCTGTGTTTCCATAAAAAACTAAATGGGATTCTAGTATACTCACAAACCAACTGGAACATTATCCCATAACCTTTCTGCTTCTAGTACATCCACTGTACAAGGACTGCCATCATTTTTCAGGAGACTAGTTGATTTCCCAGCAGAAGATTCCAGAGCTCTCCTTGCTTTCTGAATTACCAACTCTGTGTCATCTAAAATCATTATGTCACAATTAAAAATGTCACATTCATATCACACACGATATACATATTGCATATTATTCCAAATAAGTATGAGTGTCTAAAGTCTTGCCCTAAATTGAACTTGGAAATTCAAGAGTTTTTTTAAAAAATGTTTGTCATAAAAGAAGTTATACTGTATAATTTAAATGATTAGAGTTTTTATTTTAATTTACTTTGTGTGGGTCATCACAAGCACTGTCTTGGTTAAAGATAAACAAGTGGCATGAGAAAAAAGTAAAAGCAGTGGGTTCAACAAGCCACAAAGAAGGGAAGATTTGATAACTCTAGATCACAGATCTGATTTCTAAGCATGGGACAAATGTATACAAAGTAAGAAACAGTGGCTGGTTACGGTTTCTTATTTTCTACATATTAGCCAGCCACTTTGAATAGAAAATTGAGCAGAAAGGCAGAATATAAATCAAATAAAGAGACAAATAGACTTTGACTATGTGGAAGTGTCACAGGTCTCACCTACCCAAATTATTTGTTGGGATTTATATTTCAGTATTAGAAGTACATGAATCTAATTACTGCTTATCCATAGGGAGGGGGGGGGGAGAGAGAGAGAGAAGATAATTAAGAGGGGGAAAAAAAACTTCATTTACTTCTCCAAGTTCAGAATGTTATCCAGTATCCATTTCATTCCTTTATGTGGATATTTATATTCTGCCTTCCCATAGCAACTCAAATTCAAGATACCAAAAGACAAAAAATAAGAGGCCACCTGAAATTGAACACAAATCTAATAAAACATACAGCATCATAAAAGCTTATTCACATCAGACAATAAAACTGCCTTGTTATAGAAAGTCTTTGTATGAGTCTCCAAACAAGTGCATGGAAAAATGGACTTTATTCAACGTTCTAGAACAATACATTTCAGGACTGCATTGTCTACTGCAATTTGTTAATGTACTTGTGAATCTTTTCTCTCTTTGAATAATATATAAAGTTAACCTTTCCCTTCTGTTTACAGATGCCTCTTTCAGCTAAGAACAAAGACACTATACACTTGATGAAATGAGCCCAGATCCAAACACCCAATAACCAATCTAAAGCAATGCAGTGCAGTGCAATGACCTTGATTGCCTTAATTATTTCTCACAACACCGTCCTATGTGTGTATTTATGACCCCCTGACCTTGAAAGAGCTTAGGCCCAGATAAAGATGTTCAGTTTGGGCTTTATTTCATAAGAAAGACAGGACCATAATTAAAAGTCAAGAAAGAATCTGGTCTGCAGACTAACAATCCATCGGTGGTTCACCTGGGGGCTACCCCTCCTAGAAGCAGGCAGGTGAGGGAGGATAAAATAAACTACCTTGCTGCAAATGAAGGGCTTGGGGTAGCTACCATGTTAATTACAACTTATTTATTATAATATTTATACAACACTCTCTCAGCAGTTTAAAGTCAATAAAAATAAATTAAACAACTTATGACTCCAGAAAACTATAGAATCTATGCCAAGGCCCTCGTGGAAAAATTAAAAGAAAAATTAAATCAATAAAGCCATAAGGCGTTTATTCCCGAAATGCCCAGCAAAGTAAACCATTTTTGCTGCCTTCCCAAAGAGTGTGTTAAACAACCTTGGCCTCTGCAGTCAAGCTATTCCATAATGATGGGAATCCTCCAAGAATGCCTTGCTTTGCTTCTCCACTTCTGCTTTGTTGTTTAGTCGTTAAGTTGTGTCCGACTCTTCGTGACCCCATGAACCATATTGCGCCAGGCCTTCCTGTCCTTCACTGCCTCCCTGAGTTTGCTCAGTTTCATGCTCACTCCACTTCTGCAACTATATGTTAACCACAAGGATCCCAGTAATACTGATTTATGCTACCTTGCCCTAACTAAGCCACCAAATGACTTCCCACGCACCCTCACAAGTCACACGGGAACAATCTTGTACAGTGTTACCCAACTCAACTATATTTATTTATTCATTCAAATTTGTTTTAGCCGCCCAACTCCGATGGACTCTGTATCATTACATACATTATTAGGATCAATTATGTAGACCACCATCTTCATCAGCACTTTTCCTTTAAGCAAAGCACCAAGCCAGTAAGGAGACATACAAATCAATGTACTTTGTGCACATATTGGCTACGCTCGAACACACTTGGCTATAAACCTGTGAGCCCAGCACCATTTTTCATTCCCAGCTTAATTCCTTAATTATAGCTTTTTAACTGAATGTTTTAAATATATAATGTCAACAGAACCCTAAAAAGCTGTGGAGGATAAAAGGGCTGTCTTTTTTGGATGCTTTTAAACTTGGATGTTTTAATTTACAAGATATTTAAGGTACATCTGGGACAAAGGTATCCAAAATGGTGACCTTTTGTAGTTCAAAGAACAGGGTAAGTTTAAAACAGCTTTGGGCTTTAGCAGCACAAAAGACAAACAGAAACTTTTGTAGAACATCTTTGTACCTGTTGTTCGGGTTCACCTATTTGGCTAAGCCATTATTTGATTTTGGTTGAATGCACTGTATGAACTGAATTATTATGGTTTATAAAATATCATCTATAGCATAGTGTTACATGTGACTTATGACACTATGATTTATTCAACAAATCATGGTTAGAACAAACTAATTTAATATGAACTTGGCCATAAAATGTTACACATGTATTAACACGGTAAACTCAACTTAGTTGAAAATCCATTTTAGAAAATGGCTTCAAACCATATTTTGGTTGTAATCAATGCATGCGTTCCAGTCTTTACTAAATATACTTAATTTTAAGATTATAATAGGAGGGAGGGACAAACATGAGCTTGCTGGGTGCACCTAATACCCAATGTATGTTTAAAGGTTAGATAGTACTATTTCTGCATCAGCGTCTTTTCTAAGAAATATCTAGGATTCACTGGCAGAGTTCACACATTGCCCTTTCAGTGACTATGGTTTGCAAAGCAGTTTATTGCCGAAAGAGTTATGTGAACCCAGATAATTGCAACTTATTCATTAAACCACTGCTAAATAAAGCATGGTTCATCATAGTGTTTGAACCCAGTCACTACTATGCCACATTCCAAAAAGTTGACAAAGTTTGACATCAAAATAAGTGCTATTATGTGTTACCTATAAGCAGATCCTTGTGCTCTCTTAGGCCCCGAGGTAGAAAATAGGCACCTGGAGAATCATTTTGGCAATTCGTTTGAATATCACACTTGTGTTTTAGGCTAACCACATCATTACGTCTTGGGTACTCAGAGGTGCTTAATCTATTAAGGTTTTGAAACTTCATCAGGTCCTTATTATCTTGCAAAGACAGAAGTTCATCTTCCAGATGTGAAGTCTGTGTAGAATTTTCATTACTTGAATCCAACAAGAGTTTATGGTTCTTCAGCCAGATAGGATATTTGGATTCAGGAATACTACTTAACTCTGAGATGCTCAAGTCAGTTTTATAGCTCGTCAGCCATCTTGGATAGTTCTTATGAAAAACAGTCTCTTGACTGGAGGGCTGGTCATCCCCAGGCAACACAGGATCATGTTTGTGAAATTTATATTGTGCACCTTTTCTTCTGCTAGCTTCTTGGTATGAAGAGGAAAACAAGGAATTTTCCAGAGAATCTTCTTTTCCTTTATTGCTGAAGGATGAAGTCCGGTGATGAGAACAAGAAGCAGATGCTGTCCATGACCTCCTGTTCACATTGCTTCTCTGAGCTAATGGTCTAGAACTCTTGAAAGATAAAGATCCATCTGCAGGGAATGCTAAAAGATCATCCGTAGTCAGACTGACCATATCCGACTCATAAGCAATTCTTCTTCCAAGATGTGTACGCTGTTTTACATTCTCTAAAGCAAGAAGAGACATAATTTGACTTAATCTAATCCAAGAAAGAAAAAACATTTCAAATGATGTAACAATTTATATATTTGCATTACAGTAATTTCAGTTCAATGGAAATAATTCCCAGGAAAGAACGTACAGGACTGCAGTTCTATTGAAAACTTCAGTGGATGTTAGTTGTTTAATAATTTTTTATCTTGAAGATGAAATATATTTGAAAGTATGCTAAGACTCATGATTTGGTCACATCCTATGGTTGTCCCATATTGGTTGAATATTACTGATACTGATAATGACGTTTTAGTAAGGGATGTAAGATTCAGGGATGCTGAAGAGCTATTCAATTATATTCCTAAAATTTGGACTCATCAATTTATGATGAGTGTTGGATTTATTGTGTTTGAACTATTGCAAAAAAGATTTATATGTTCTTGGAAAGTCGCCTGTACACCACATACAAAATTTCTTAACAAAATGCAAGCTTAACAAAATGCTTGCATTCTCAGCCTTTGAACTTAACAATGCAATGGAAGCATTATTTGATCTGGCTCATTCTCAAACTTGTACTGTTTCCCAGTTAAAATTATGACTTGTCTGTGTGTGTATGGAGATTAGTACGTAGTACTATATTTTTTACTATTAATAGGTGCTTGTAGATATAAATGCAAGAGAATTCTTAGACCAAACCACAATCAGCAAACATTTAGATTTAAAAAAAATCTTATTAACATAGGTTAAAATGCAAAACTGGCCCCCAAGTTAGCCCTGTCAACTGTTCAGCTGAAACAACCTAGAAATTGAAAACTTCTAAGTGAACTGTAAATCTAAACTTTGGCACCAAAAATTTATTACAAAAACATAACTTTGTCTGAGAGGATTTGTCCTTTTCTAGAGGACAAGCTGAGCTGAACAAACTGTTTTTAGCAATGATTTATTCTCTTAGTTACTAAAGCAATACCAAAAGCAATATATGAAATATTTTGTACTGTTTCATGATGTCTAAAAGATTCTAAAAAGAACAGTAATATTTATTCTTTATGGCACATAGTTTGATTACTTTCATTCTGGTGCAATTTTGAATGCTCCTGGTTATGATTTTATGTCTATATTTTAATACCTTTCAATAAGGTGTATTAGTGGTATGCAAAAAGTTTCAAGTTTGAAATGCCTCATGACCTCATCCATGCTGTTCCAGTGGGCTACTTAGAGTTCAGAACATTTCCAGTATGGTCAGAATAGTATCAGACCACATCTGGTAAGTGTGTATAGATAAAAACCTACAGAACTCTCTTTTGGGAGCTCACAAATAACCATTCTCTGCAACTTTAAAGTTAAGGATAACATTAAAACTCTGACATTAATACTAACTTTTTGGCTTCTTAAAGTACATCATAATATACGTTTATTCAGAAGCAAATCCCACTTGTTTAATGTATGTATGGGACTAAGTCACTTTGGATATTGAACACATATGGGCAATCTAAGTCTCTTATAATGTTGATTGAAAAATGCAAATATAATTGCAAATATGAATGTAATAAGAATTGATTATGATTATGTCAACTACAATTCCTGGCAAATAGAAGGGGTAGAAATGGAAGCAGTAACAGACTTCATTTA